GGACCGGGCAGTGCTTTGTTCTATTGTAAATAGGGTCACTATGAGTCAGAATCGACTCAATGGCACCTAACAACAGCAACTCAATGAGACGGCTGAACACGGTGGCTCCAACAATGGGCTCAAACATAACAATGATGGTGAGGATGGCACAGGACCAGGCAATGTCTCATTGTGTCATACATAAGGTCACTATGAGTCGGATCCGACTTAACAAAACCTAACAACAACAATAATGACTAGTGATGTTAAACATCTTTTCGCATGTGTATTAGCAATTTGTATATCTTCTTTCCTAAAATGCCTGTTTAAATGTGTTCACTATTTTGAATTGTGTTGTTTGTCTTCTTGTCACTGAATTGTAAGAGTTCTTGGTACACTCTGAGTAGAAATCCTGTCTTAGATAATATGATTTGCAACTGTTTCTCCCAGTTTGTGGCTTGTCTTTTCACTTTCCTGATGGTGTCTTTCCAAGTGCAAGAGTTTTTAATGTTTATCAAGTCTAATTTATCCACTTTTTTCTTTTATGGATCTAAGAACTATTTGCTTAACCCAAAGTCAAGAAGATTTTCTTTCAGAAGTTCTATAATTCTCTTATGTTTAGGTCTATATCCACTTTTGTATATGATGTAAGTTAAAGGTCTAAGTTTCTATTTTTGTTTTTTTTTGCATATGAATATCCAGTTGTCTCAGCAACATTTGTTGAAAACACCAACCTTTCCCCAACAAATTATCTTGACTTCTTTTGTCCATGTATGTGTAGGTTTACTTCTGGACTCTCAATTTGGTTTTATTGAGTGTATGTTAATTCTTATGCCAGTCTTGATTATTGTGGCTTTATAGCAAGTTCTGAAATCAGGTAGTGCAAATCCTCCAACTTTGCATTCTTTAAAAAATTGTTTTGGCTATTCTGGGTCCTTTACATTTCCAGGTAAGTTGTAGGATCAGCTTGTCAATTGCTACAAAAAAATCTTACTGGAAATTTAATAGTGATTGCACTGAATCTTTCTATTTGGGGAGAATTGCCATCTTAACAACACTGAACCTTCAAATCCACGAACATGGAATATCTTTCCATTTATTTAAACTTTTTAAACATTTTCGCAGCAATGTTTTATAGTTTTCAGTGTACGAGTCTTGTATTTCTTTTGTTAAATTTATTCCTAAGTATTTTTTGATGTTATTATGAAACTGTTTTCTTAAATTTATTTCAAATTGTTCATTGAACAATAGGAACACAATTGGTTTTTGTATATTGATCTTGAGTCCTGAGATATTGTTAAATTCATTTATTAAGTTCTAGTAGTTTTGTGGTGGGTTCCTTAGAATTTTCTAAATACAGGATCGTGTCATCTCCAAGTAAAGACTGTTTAACACTTTCCTTTCCAAAGCAAGCATCATTTATTTCTCTTTTTGCCTCATTGCACTGGCTAGAACCTCCAGTGCAATACTGAATAGAAGTGGTGAGAGCGGACATCCTAGGCTTGCTCCCAGTCTTAGGGAGAGGGCTTTCCGCCTTTTATCACTAAGTATGATGTTAGCCGTAGGTTTTTCATAGATGTCTTTTCTCAGGTTTAGGAGATTCCTTTTTATTTCTAGTTTTTTGAGAGTTTTTATTACAAATGGGTGTTGATTTTGTCAAATGCCTTTTCTGTATCTATTAAAATTATCATGTGCTTTTTGTCCTTCATTTATTAATATAGTATATTAATTGCACTAATTGATTTTTTAATGTTAAGCCAACTTTGCATTCCTGAGATAAATTCCTTTTTATATATTACTGGATTTATTTCACTAGTATTTTATTAAATATTTTTGCATCTGTGTTCATAAGAGATGCTGGTCTGTAGTTTCATTTTCTTGTGATGTCTTTGGGTAATACCAGGGTGACACTGGTCTCATAGAAGGAATGTTCTCACCTCTTCTGTAGGTTGTGATGAGTTAGTATTAACCTTTCTTTAAATATTGTCTTCTGGCCTCCATGGTTTCCGATGAGAAGTCAGCTGTTCATTGTACTCTGCACTCCTTACGTGATGAGTAGTTTCTATTTTCCCACTTTCAAGATATTCTCTTTGTCTTTGAGTGTCAACAGTTTGACCACGATATATCTTTGTGTTGGTCCTACATGATGTGCATGAACTTCCTGGATCTGTGGATTCATGCTTTTCATAAAGTTTTGAAAGTTTTGGGCCACGATCTTCAAATATTTGTTCTGGGCCTTTGTCTCCCCCAAGGCACTGGCAGCAGGACCAGCTGCTCTTCTGGTGTGTGGAGCTCCATGTCAGCAGCTGCCAGCTGAGGACTGTGCCCCAGGAAGGCCGAAGAAAGGGGCTAGAGGGGAAGGCATGCTGGGACGGTCCCCAGGCTGCCAGCAGCTCCCTGCCATTCACACTCCAGGCAAGCAGCCTACCTGCTCCAGTGCTGTGTCTGTGGAGCTGTGGTGGGCCCCACCACTGCCAGCCCAGTTTGGGGTCTGATACCTTCTGGAGACCCAAAGCCGGTACCTCACTCACCCAGTCAGTAAGCCAAGGGGTCTGCATCATGCAGGACACTGCTGGCCTGTGTGGCTGAGAGGAGGGCAGGAGACAGACAGGAGACGGTGCAGAAGCTGGGAGAGGACAGTGGTGCTGGTGGCCTTTGGTGGGAGGTGAGGATCCCGGTGAGGGGGGAATGGGGAAAGGTAGAGAGGGAGTCAGCTCTGGTGGTGAGTGGGTGGTGGGTTGGTAGAGCAGGTGGATGTCAGGGCAAGTCATTGGGAGGGACATGGGTGTGACACATGTGTGGTTGATGACTAGTGGGTGGGAGGTATGTCAGATGTTGGAGTGGGTCCCTGTAGCGAGGCTGGTGGAGCCGTGGGTCTCTTGACTTGGGGCCCAGGCTGGAGTGGAGTGGAGTGGAGGCGGACCCAGTCACCTTAGCAGTGCAGTGTGGGATCTCTGGTCCCTGATCTCTGGCCCAGACACACCCAAGTGGGGCAATAAAATTAGAGCAGCCTGGGCGGGGAGGCTCAGGGCCAGAGGCCTGGATACCCGCATTGGTGACCACAGCCCTAGCAGAGCACCCTCTACTCTGAGAAGAGGACTTCAGACATGAGGAGGTAGTGCCCAGTGCCTCAGCCCTAATTCCCTACCCCCTCCACAAAACTGGTCACTGCCTTGGGCTCAGCCTCTGGGGTGCCTCTGTCCCCAGAACCGGGGCCTGGTTCCCATGGGGCATCAGGAGGAGGAAGGGAGAGGCTTCCTATCCAGGGACAGTGGGGTCAGTGTTTTTGGCTATGGTTCCCAAGAATGCCCAGCTCCTCTTGTGTCCTACAGGGCATGGAGCAGATCTCTCCCTCCTGAGTCACCATCTGACAGCCATTTTGCTGGGGTGGGCAACCAGTGCTCCAGCTCTGAGGCCCCCTAGGTGGTCCCCATGTGTGAGGTGGTCCCCATGTGTGTTTGTGTCCTGGAGACCCTGGGAGCAGGAAGTGGGAGGCACCAGGCTCAAAAGAGGAGGTCTGTGACTGACCCAAAGAAGTGGTCTGGGGGAGAGGATCAGAAAGATAAGAGGTAGGTGGAGGCTGGTGGGGGTTGGGGCACATCACCCTGAGAGCTGGGGTTTGAGGCTTAGGCTCCTGCGGGGCTCTGGGGTCAGAGGCCCTCCTCCTCCTCCTGTGAGGGGACCACTCCTCTAAGCCAGAGCCTGCTGCCCCTCCTTTCCTGGGGTTCTCCCTGGGGCCTCAGCTTGGACCAAGGGCCATGCCCACCATGTCAGGGGGTGGGCCTCTGGGTGGCGTAGAGCCTTGGGGACCCTTCTGGACTTCTGTGCACCGTGTACTGCAGAGTGGGGACTAGGCTGTTTGTCTTGGGGGGGCTTTCCCAGAGCTGCCTGGGCAGGGGGTGGGGGTGCAGCCAAGACATGCAGCAACTGTCCACATTCAGCCCCGGGCCTGAGACTACAGTTGAAGGACTGCCTGTATGGGCGGGTCTGGGCGGGTCTGGTCCCGAGGGGAGGTAGCAGAGCTGGAATCCAGACCTGGGCTAGGGCAGGTGGCCGCCCTGTCCTTTGACCTCCAGGTGTGCATGGGAACCATGTCCCCAACCACTGAGTCATCCAGGAAAGGGCGAAGGTCTCTGTGGCGTTGTAATCTCTGTCAGGGTGTGATGTAGGGAGCCCCCTATCTTCCCACGCCCAGTGGAAAGGGCCTGCGTGGCCTGTTTGTGGGGAGCCTGGCTGGGGAAGTGGACATGAGCATGGAGGGCTGAGGACCCCTTTCCACGCAGAGCCGGAACCCAGTCCCAGATGGAGCCGCAAACACAGAGCGGAAGCTTACTGGAAGTTCACTGGTGTCCACCGGGGGTTCACAGGGCTCATGGGGATCACCAGTCTGGTAGTGAGGAAGGGAAAACGTACAGCTTAGGCTTCTAACAGGCCTGAGTCCCCCGTCTGACACACCATCACCCCAAAAGGCTTTGTCCTTGCTGCCTGGGTGAGTGGCCACCCGTCGGTGACCTTCAACCCTGTGTGTGCACTGTTGACTGTCCTCGGCAGCCAAGACCTCTTCCCCACCTCTCCTACCCTCTCACCACCGTTCTTCAGGCCTGTCCTTAGCCCTGCTCAGGCGGGTCCTTAGCCTCCCCAGCCTGCACTTCCTCTGCCTTGAGTCTGTCCTCCACTACCGCCGTCCTCCTGAGCCTCCACACTCTACAACAAGACGCCCAGCCTGCGCTCCAGGCCCTGCGCCTGCCTGCCTCCCCTCCCTGCAGCCAGCCCACCATTGTCACAGATGCTCACCCACCAACCACGCCCTCCCCACCCTCCAGTAGCTGCTCTGGGACTCTGGGGACAGAGCCTGGTGCCCAGCCTGGAAGTCCTCAGGGCGCTGTAGGCACACAGCGCTCAGTGCCTGGGTCTGAGTCTGCATCACAAGCAGCCGTGTCCTTGTCTCCAGCAGTGCGGCCACGGCCGCTGTGAGCACAGGACGCCAGGAGCCACGTCTCTCTACAATCTGCAAGGCGGGCATGGCCGGCCACAGAGGCACGGGCTGGTCGGCCTCTGGAGTCCCCAGCCTGACCCCAACTGTGGCTTGCCAGCCGAGGAGGTGTTTGCCTGGGTAGCCGCAGAGTGGGCAAAGCGTCGGCCAGCAGTCTCCACCGCTCTGCACCTTGTCTCCTTGTCTGCCAAGTGGGGGAACTCCAATAAAAGTACCAGCGGCTGCTGTCTTGCGACTGGCCCAGCTCCCTTGCTGTCCCCTCCCACGCTCTTCTCTTGTCCCTAGGCTTGTCCTAGTCACCAGCCTGGTGGCTGTGATGCTGCAGGAAGCAGGCCCAGCCCTGGTGCCCCAGGTATGTGGGGTCCCTGCCCTGTACCCCCTTCACCCTCTGCCTGACCACAGGCTTGGTAAAGACAGGGCCTACCTGCCCTAACCCCAAGCTGGCCTGGAGAGAGAGGGTGACCCGTCTGGGGACTGAGGAGACGCCCTCTTCTGGATCTCTTGGACAAAGAAGCCCAGGTCACCTGCCCCCACCCCCTGAGGGGCTGGACAGGTGCACTCTCTGGGCCGAGACTAGGCGTGGGGACGTGTCTTGTCCTTGCGTTGGCCACTCAGCCCTGGGCCTGGGATGACAGGTGAAGGGAGAGGCCCAGCCCTTCCTGTCCAGAGACACGGTAGGCCGGTGGTCTCCATCAGACCTTCTGGGGTTCTGCCATGTGCACCCCTCCCCAGCCACTCCACTGCCCCGCCCCCACCCCCAGTCCCCAGCCAGGAGGAGGTGAAGCAGGTGGAACCCTGCCTCTGGGCCCTTGCTCGGGGGGGGTTTCTCCTGTGGCCCACAGTACTGCTGGTTGTTTGGGAAGCTTTTTAGAAGGGAGAGAAGGTGGCTTTGGGGCTCAGGCAGGTCCAGCTGTCCTGCGGTCAGGTTTCAGGAGGGGACAGGTCCTGGGAGCCCAAGGTAGCTACTGTCCGATCTCACTCAGCCCTCGATGTGGCATTCCGCCTGACTTGGACAGCTGCGCTCTCAGAAACCACAAGCTGGGACCAGGGAACCATGGGGAGGGGACACCAGGTCCTTGAGTGTCTGGACCATCTCAAGGGGGGCAGTGGAGGGAGGGAGGAGGAGCAGGGACCTCCAGTGGCCCCAGCAGGACTATGTCAGAATGGAGCAAGGCCAGCTCGGGCTCCCGAATGGTCCAAGGAGGGGGCGGGTGGAGAACCGGAGGAGCTGCCAGGTCACTTTCCTGGCGTCAGCCAAATAGGAACAGGCTGGTGGTCCTCCCTCCACCCCACAATCCCTGACCACCTAGGGAGGTTCTACTCCCCCTTGGACCCTCCTGCAGACCCCCAGGGCTGTGCTGAGCACGAGTCCTGCTCTGAGCCAGGTGGGCTTTGGGGCCCCTCTCCCCAGGACTTCCCCAACCTTAGCCCTCTGACGCACTGTGCAGAGCCCCTACCCGTGACTTACCATACCCCCACCCCCGCCCCACCCAGGTCTCTGTCAAGTTCAAAGGCGAGAAGTGGCTCTCTGAGCAGGACACAAAGGAGTAAGAGCTCTTCTGTAAACTCCCCCACCCTGCTGGCTCCAGCAGCCTAGCCCCCTGCCCGTAGATTTGCCCTTGGGGTCCTTCCTGAGACCTGGGTGCCCTGGATGATGGGAAGCGGCATGTCCCCTTTAGAAATGTCCAAAGCCTCGGGAGCAGGCAGCCTCGGGCCCAGCAGTGAGCACTGAGGATTCATCCTCTGCATCTGAGCTGTGACTCTGGCTCCACACCTGCTGTCCCTCTCCCTGCGGGACCTGACCTCTCTCATAGTCAGAGGGTGGCCAGAGCTCTCGCCACATGTGGGGGCAGTGCCTCGCCCTCAGCACCTAATCCCCACTGTGTTCCCAGGGCCTGGGGGGCCAGAGCAGTGCAGCCTCCAGAGAAGGACAGCTTGCTCTCCGGGCTCCCCTCCCCGCTGAAGCCACACGCTGCCACCACCAATGTTGAGGAGAAACCTCCAGGTGGGGCTGGGGGGCCGCCAGGGTGGAGACAGAGGGAAAGGGGATGGATGACACCTCGGTGGGGGGGGTGGGGGGTGGGATGGAAACTGAGGCCACGCCTCCCTCTGTCTGTCCGTAGGTGCCAAGCCCTGGGTGGACGGGCCTTGGCCGCAGGCACTGCCGTCTCTCCAGATGCTCCTGGGGCCTGAGGAGGACCTAGACAGCCTCTACCACCCCCCACCCGAGGAGGACCAGGGTGTGGAGGGGCCCTGGGCGCAGGCACTGCCGTCTCTCCAGGTGCTCCTGGGGCCAGAGGAGGACCGTGACCACATCTACCACCCTGCAGGGCCCTGACCTCCCTCCCCACCCACTTCTCCCTTGGAGGGACCGCCCACACCTCCCCAGCCCCCTGCAAGAAAAATAAACACCTGAAAGCAGGAGGCAGGAAGGCTGCAGGATTTTCTTGGACAGTCCCCGGGCCTGGTGCTGTCGGGAATGGTGGTGCACAGAGCCGCATCCTTCTAGCGGTGTCTGCCCTCACACTGGCACACTGAGAGCTCCCTGTAGGGCTGGAAAGGCCCAGCCAGCCCTCAGCTCCCCACCAAGCTGCCCCAGCTCCAGGAAGGGGCTAATCCCTCCAGGCCCTCCCCCTTACAGTCTGGGATGGGGCAAGGGGTGTGAGCCTTGCGGGGCAGCGGTCAGTGTCTGGGGACAAGAGGATGGCCACTGGGGACCAGTCTCAGCAAAGAAACAGAAACCTGTGCTGGGCTCCCCACAGCAGGGTTAGAGAAAGGAAAGGACCTGAGAGAGGGAGGACGAGCCAGTGGTGCACGGGGCAAAATATGGGCTAAAAGAACTGAATATTCACATCATCAAAGAAAACAGACGACAGCAAACAAGCCCATTAAAAAATGCGCAACATTAATCATCAGGGAATTGCAAATGAAAACCATGAGACACTACCACACACCTATCAGAACGGCTAAAGTTAAAGAGACTGACCACACCACGTGCTGTGAGGACGCGGACAAACTGGCACTTACTGGTGGGAACGTAAAATGGTGCAAACACTTTTAAGAAAAGTTTGGCAGTTTCTTAAAAAGTTAAACACACATTTACCATAGGATCCAGTCATTCCACTATTTATTTACCCCAGAGGTAAGAAAGCATATGTCCATATAAGACTTGCACATGAATGTTCGTAGCGGCTTTAGCTGTAACAGCCCAAAACTGGAAACCACCCAAATATCCGTCAGCATGCTGTGGTATATGCATATGACGGTGTGATGGTTAAAATTGTGTGTCACCTTGGCTGGGCCATGATTCTCAGTGTTTATATGTGAGCACTCCCATGACTGAATCTGCTGTGAGTAGCCAATCAGTGGAAAGGGAGTTTCCTTGGGGGTGTGGCTTGCATCTGAATATAAGCAGACATTCTGGTTTTTTGCTCTTTCTGGATCCTGTGGCTGCTTCCTGTCATCTCATTTCTGGTTCTTGGGACTTGAGCTGTCAGCTTCTCTGCTGAACTTGGGATTTGTCAATCTTCACAGCCTGTGAGCAGAGCCCTGCTCTCTGACCTGCCAATCTTGGGTTCGCCAGCCCCTGCAGCTACGTGAATCAGGAGAAACCTTGCCATCTTGCCTGCCGATCTTGGAATTCGTCAACCTTCACAGCCTGTGAGCAGGAGCCCTGCTCTCCGACCTGCCGATCTTGGACTCAACAGCTTCTGCAGCTGCATGACTTGGGAGAGGCCTCTACCTTGATCCACGGACTTGGGACTTTCTAGCCTCTACAATTGCATGAGCTGTTTCCTTGGCATAAATCTCTCTATATATATATTTATATGCTTTACTGCTTTTGCTTCTCTAGAGAACCCAACCTAAGACAGATGGAATACCCCTCAGTGAGAATACGGATGCATTCAAAATGATTATGCTAAGTGAAAGAAGCTGAAGAATGCATACATGATTTTATTGAAAATTGAAAAATGCAAACTAATCTATAGTGTCACAAAGCAGACGGGGAGAATTTCTGAGGGGCAGGAGGACACTTCTGGGGTGACAGGCATGTGATTTTCCTGGGTAGACACACGTCTGAACATATCAAATTGTACACTTTCAATGTGTACAGTTTATGTCCATTACACCTCCAAAGAACTGTTTTAAAATAAGCCGGCGTGAGGTCAGTGACAAGAAACCCCACGACACCAGGCCCAAGGTCAGGCAACTGCAAGGTTACTGTTGGCAAAGCCCAGACAGGGGCTCGAGGGCAGGACAGCCCAGCGAGGGGGGAGCCATTACAGAGGGCAGAGGAGCCGAGTCCAAGGCCAAACCCAGAACAGACCCTCTCCCACTGGGCCCCAAATCTCTGTCTGTCAGCTCGCTTGCCCTCTGGGTTCTGCTCCTTGTCCCCTCTCCTTCCCTGGGAGTGCAGATCTGGGTGTCCAGGACACTACCCCCTGGAGCCTCAAGGCCACCAGCTCCCAGGCCACCCTGGGCAGATCCCACCTAGTCCCTGTGTGTGTTTGGGGGGTGGGGGGGGCAGAGACCCTGGTGGTTGTGGCTCCTCCGCTACTGGGAACCCCATCTCCCCAGCTCCCACCATGTCCGTCCTGGGACCTCAGCCCCATCTTCTCCCCCGAGGTGTGGCTGTTGGGAGGTTTTGGGGGTAGTGAGAGGGCTCTTGGGAAGCAGCCTAGGGTCTGGGACAGTAGCCCAGGGGGAATTCCTCCCCATCCTGGGGCCCAGTCCAAGCAGCCCATGAAGCCTTCGCACACTGGGTTTGGGCTGTCTGCATGGAGCATCCTCTTACCACTCCCCTCTGTCCCCCAGGACTACTCTACGAGGGTGTGGCCATGTCCCGTTTGATGCAGCCCGGGGCTCAGCAGCAGCCATATGCAGAAGGTGCTCACCAGCTCTGGGGGGGAGGGGGTGCACATAGGTGTAGCACCCATAAACCCCCCAGCCCACGCCCCAGGCAGTTCAGGCTGCATACCTGGGGTCACCACTTCACACTTGGCAGGGCCTTGTCACACAGTTGCCTCCAAGCTCCCAGTTCTTTCCAAGGGTCTTGACTCCCCCCACCCCACACACCTCCTGCCCTCAGGCCTTTGGGCCACGCACAAGCCCCCACCCTAGCAGGGGCACATGTCTGCTTCCCGCCGCTGTTCGGCCATGGTCATGCCCCCGCCCCGCCCCCAGGGAAGTTCAAGGCCTTATTTCCCACTTGCATTTCTCAACTGAGGGTACATTGGGGTAAGGGGTGGGGGCTGCTCTGGTGTCTTTGAGGAGCTGGTGACCTCCCGGGGGGACAGTCACCAAAGGAGTCTTGATGAGAACAAAGCTGTGGTTTAAGCCCTCCCGCCTGCACACTCACAGACCACCACACTCCACCTTTTCCATAAATCGGGAGGTCTCCCAGGCCGAGTGGCAGAAGCCCCACACATGCACCGACCCCCAGAGCCCCCAGCAGGTTGTGGGCGCCGGGCTGGGGCTTGTCCATGTCTGAGCGACTGTCGGGCAGCGCTGTCGGGTTTCAGGGTCCCCTCCACTCTTCTTAGGGCCACAGGGTGGGCTTCCCAAGGCCTAGAGCAGGTCGTCGGGGGCAAGCACCCCCTTCTTCAGGATGATGTTTCCGTAGAGGGCCGTCTCCCTGCGTGAGGGGCCAGGGCAGGCGAGGGGTCCTTACAGGGTCCCAGCACCAAGGCGGGCCGAGGGTCAGGGCCAGCCGGGAGCCCTGCTACCTCCCTCTCAGGGACGATGCCGTTGATTTTCATTCCATTCGCTAGACAGAAACTCAGAGACAAATAGGGACGGCTCACCTCCTCACCATACCCACCAAATCCTGCTCTCTGTGGGACATCGTGGGAGGCCGGACCGAGCAGGGGGCGGGGCCTCAGGAAGGTGGGGGCGGGGCCTTCGGGAGGTGGGGGCGTGCCCACGGGACTCACCCGGTCGCTACCACCGCAAAGGCCTTTCTGGCCCGCTCATAAAACGCAAACCTCTCGACCTTCTCCAGCGACTTCTGGAAGACAAACAGCCGTGGTCAGGGGGCTCTGTGGGTCGAGGGCGCCTGCCTTGCTTGTGGCCCGGCGGGGTCGCCCAGTCGGCTCAGCCAGCCTCCCCCAGCTCCTCGGGCGCGTCCCCTCCCCTCTGACAAGTCGCACCTCAAGCCCCAGCGGTGGAGAGGCCCCTCCACCCCCCTGCACAACGACAGCTTCCCGCAGGCTGTGCAGACTCAGGAGGCAGCGGATCGCAGGCTTCAAGTAGGCCTGGGACTCCAGCCTGGTCTGGCGACTTCCCTGTTGCCAAAGCCATGCTCCAGGGGGCCCCAGGAGGTGGGGCCTGGGGGAGCTCTGGGAGGCCGGGGGCAGTCCTGAAGCTCTAGGGGGATGGTTAGGGGGGCACAGAGGAAAACAGGCCCCTGTCCCACCCAGATCTCATGAGCTGTGATTCCCCATCCAGGCTCGGAAGAGCAGCCACCCAAGGAAGCCGCCTACCCCACCGTGTCCTGCAGGTGTCACTGGAGGCCACACCCCCACTACGACACGGTGAGCTGTGGGCATCCCAGGACCACGGCCGCCGCCACCCGGGAAGGGGCTAGGCACCCCACCACCACCCTCTAGGCTCCACCTAGGTCCTGGTTCACTCCCCAGGTGGGGTACCACACATCGGTGCCCCAGAAACCCCCAAAGCAAGAGCTGGAGGCTGGCAGAGCCTAAGAGCCTCAGGCCTCAGAGAGCAGTCTTTGGGGATCGGCTGTGGGGAGTGAGGACCCCAGGCAGAGACAGGCGAGAACGTGCCAGGCTGTAGGAAGGCCGGGCAAGAGGTGAGGCCCAGCCACCCCCACCCCAGGTCCACCACCTCTTCAGCCCCAGGCGGGGAGTGTGCACCAGAGGGCCGTTGGGCCAGCAGTGGCCACGTGAAGACAGGGTCTCAGAGGAGGTGTGGAGACTCACCGTGCAGCCTGCCTTGTGGAGCAGGTACTCGTAGCGTCTCCACACTGGGGTCTGGAGGCCCCTGGCCTGGTCGCTGGGCACCAGCTCCATGACGGCAGCCTGGGGCGGGCGTGCAGTCAGCTGTGCTGCCCCAACCCACCCCAGCTACCCAGCATGTGTCCCCCCCACCAGAAAACACCAGCAGGGGCCCCAGACTGGGAAGGAGAAGGGGCCCGGGGCAGTGCAGGCCCTCACCGGACTCTCCACGTAGGTGTCCAGTGGCAGTAGCTTCAGCACGGCCTCCAGGAGCTGCGGGATGCCCAGGCCTGGGAGGGAGGTGCAAAGTCTGGCTCAAACACTGGCCCTGTCCAGCCACCAAGGACAACTCTTGGCCCCCAGGACAGACGAGGCGCCTTAAGCACAAGGTGACAAGCTCAAGAAAGCAGTTTAGGTGTGGCGCAGTGAATACACACCCCACCACCACCTCAGCCATGACACCCATCCACACCTGCCTCCGGTACATCCCCAGTTCCTCAAGCCCTGCCCACAAGAGAGGGGCAATGGCCCTGCCTACCTTCAAGGACCTTCCTAAGGGCCAGACAGTCCAAGGGTGTGAAGACACCGAGGACACATTGAGGGCGGGTGTCATGGCTCTGGTCTGGCCACAGCACCGGCAGTAAACGACCTCCGACCACCAAGGCACTTCCAGGCCTCGGTCTCCCCATTTGCACAAAGTCATCACAGTGACCAGACTAGGTAGGGAGTGTAGTGTCACCTCTGGGGACTCAGGCGGCAGAGAGGGCCTCAGGGCCCTGGGTCATTGGGCGTTGGCCCCTGAAGTGTCAGAGCCAGGACCACGGCTGTCCCCAACCCCCTGGGGTCTGGAGCGGGGGGGGGGGGGGGGCGGGGCGGAGCTCACCGTCAGCACGGATCTCGGTGGGGCCACACTGGCATAAGGAAGAGGTGGGGAAGTTGGCGTCTGCAAGGACTGAACGGGCAGGCTGGTCAGACCCCTCGACCCCACCTCAGTGGGTCACTATCTCGTCCTGTCCGACTTCATGGACTATGCTCCTCCCACCACGGGCACCTCCCATGCGGGCTGAGGTCAGACAGCACGGACCATCCCCCACTGGTGCCCCCCATCCCCCCACTGGTCAGAGAGTCAGCAGAGGAAATACAGATGGGGGTGGAGGCCCGAAATTCAAGGTAGGAGGAAAAGGTAGTTAGCATAGCAGGAGATCCTGTCCTCGTCCTCAGACCCTGGGAGGGGCAGCAGAGTCAGGACCGGGCAGCAGGGCTTGAGAAGGGTTCAGAGAGGCTGGGGTCCTGCGCCAGGGTCCCCCATGGAGCCCCAGGCTCTGCCTACGACCCCCTGAAAAGGGCACCCGCCCCAGGCAGCAGGTGTTAGGGGCAGCCTGGCCTGTCGTGGCCCATCAGGCAGTGCAGGATGGGGGTCATAGATGAGGCCGGAGAGGGAGGACTGCAGCCCAGGCCCGGAGGCTGTGGCCCCGCCCAGCACCCTTCGTCGCAGCCCTGGCCTCGAGGGCACCCAGGCTGGTGGAGGGGACCCCGGACCTGCCCGGGGCCACAGCCCCGCCCGGAACGCAGCGCCCTCGTGACCAGGGCGAGTTCGGACTCGGCCGACACGGGACCCGCGGAGGGCGGATGGGGGAGAAGGAAGGAGGCCGGGCCGCCTGCTGGGGCCTCGGCTTCTTAAAGAACACGGGGTGGGGGCTTCCTCCTCCGAAGTGGACCGGAGTGGCCGTGCAGGGGCCCCCACCACCCGGGCCCAGCCCTTGCAGGCACGGGGAGCCGTCGCCTACCGGGCAGGGGTGCAGGCCAGGGGCTCCACCCGGGACCGGGGGCCGGCAGAGGATCGGGGTACCCAGGGCCGGGGCGTGCCCGGCGCGCTAACCGGTGCCGCTCACCGATCTCGTCTCCGTGCCCCATCCGCGCCAGGGCGTAGAGCAGCTCCGGGGACAGCAGCGCGGGGACGCCCTTCAGGACCACCATGGTGTCGGCGGCTGGCAGAGGGAGCAGGGCGACGGGCCGGAGTCTCGCCCCAAGGGGCGAGGCCAGAGGAGCAGGAAGGCGCCGGAGTGGGCGAAGCCCAGGTGGGGGCGGGACCGGAGGTGCGGGGTGGGCGGGGTCCTGAGGTGGGGGCGGGGCCGGAGTGGGCGGGGCCGAGTGGGGGCGGGGCCAGCCGCCAGCTCCTGACACTTCTTGGGGTCAGACAGACACCCACGGGCCTGCCCCGGTGGCACTGGCGCCCTGACCCAGGGCCCGGGGCAGCCACGCCCGGGAATAAGGGGAGTCGGAGGTCACCGCCGTTGGGGCTGGGGCCGGGGTGCGGTCTGGGAAAACCACGTCCAGGGTCAGCAGGGCCCGGCAACTGTGTACGGAGGCCGGGCTGGGGTGAGGGCTGTGCCCGGGAGCATTTTCCTTCTCAGCCTGGACCTGAGGGTTTATCAGTAACATCCGCAAAGTGTTACCTTTTTAGTAGAAACACATGCTGGAAAACCAGTTTCATGTAAACAGACAAGAGGGCCCAAGTTTCAGCTTCAAGAACAAATCAAAGCAAAACCAAAATTCAACAACGAGGCTAGACAACGAACTCAATAGAGGTGGGAGCCCTGGGGGCCTGGGGCCTCCTCTGGGGCTGTCTAGTCAGGGTCTGGATTCACAGACCCTGGACAGTCACCCAAGACTCACCTTCAGCTCACTGTCCCCAGGTCACCTCCAACTGGAGCCAGACATGGAGGATCCTGTCCCCTCCCCTGCCCCTGGGTGGGCTCCTGTCCTCAATGACTTCTGGAACCCAATAACTTTGTGGAAACCAACCCTCCAGGTGGACCTGAGACTCTTCCCACAGGGTCAAGAAGGTTTCTTGGCTGCTGGCGAGGGCCTGGCTGAGGCCTGGGTATGAAGGCAGCCAGGCAGGGAGCCCTGAAAGCTGTCCCCATAAGCTGGTGCTTTGCTGCCGGAGGGGTTGATGCACATGAAAAATCCCGCGAATGAATGAACTTCCTTGATTGGAAGGTTTCCTTGCCGGGACACCTCTGAAAACTTTGGTGCAATCTCTGCTTGTTATTCTAGAATCTAAATACACGGTATGGCGCCACCTAGCACAAACGTTCAGTTATTTGTTTAGCTCTACTAATCTGAACTGCAACGTCTACCTCCTCCTGGGCTCCAGAGGCCCGTCTGCCCTGCTGAGCCCTTGAGTTACCTGTGCCTGTTTCAGTAACAGCCTGAGTCAAACATCCAAGCTCCTGAGGCTCATCTGAAAACAAGTCTGCTGCTGCCCCTGCCTGAGGTTGGGTGCCGTCAGAGCCTTGGTGCTGGTGGCCCCGTCTTTACAGAAACTGCTGTTTTCTCAAGTCCCTTCTCCTCCCGAAGCCTCCCTAAACCAGCCCATTCTGACCACAAAACCCAGCGTTCTGACAAGCATTGGCAGGGCCGGGGGAAGCCTGCCAGCATCTAGTAGCTGGCAGCAAACTGTGCCGAGAGGGCCTATTTATTAACTAATGTTTTATCGTGCTTTAGGTGAAGGTTTACAGAGCAAAACAAGTTTCCCATTCAACAATCTGTACACAGAATGTCCCAAGACATTGGTCACAGTGCCCTCAAGGTGTCAGCACTGTCCCCATTTCTGCCCTGGGTTCCCCGCTACGTTTCATTTGGTTTTGCAAGCACTTTAAACACATGTATCTCAAGAGCTTGGCTTTGGCTTCTCTGCGCAAATGTAACCCAAACACAGGTGCAGATAATCTGGGCTCTTCACTATCAAAAGCTTTGCAGAAGGTCAATTCACTCCTTTCTCAGTGCAGGCCAGGCTCTCCAGGTGCTCCCCTGGGGCCCTCAGAGTGGGGGTCACACACATCCCTCCCAGGTCACCACCTTTGCCTGGTTTTGTAACTGGTAACCTCCGCATAGCTGCATTAACCTGCTAGGGCCCATGCTCAACCCAGGCCTTGGGAACCTGTGGCCACGTTTGCCACAAGTTTGTCCAGCACTGTGAACACAGCTGGGTCCCAGTGGTGCCGGGTGCCTGCCTGTAAGTGCAGATTTCCCAGCTCCCTTGGTGGGCTGGGGCTGCTGAGTCTTGGGAGCCCACAGCTTGGAGCAGCGACTGTCTCCTTGGCCCACACTGCCCTCTTGGGCCTCGGGTGTGGCTTTTGTCCAGAATACAGGACTTGACTGACTTGCCTCCAGGACACTCTGACTTCGATCCCAGTAAGTCTCCAGACCCTAGTGAATCTCACTGTTACAGCTGGCTGCACTTCCTACACGGGGTTCTGCTTCAGCAGGTCTGGGGATGTGTACTGAGCAAATATTCCAGGGCTCAGACGCAGGCCCTCCTGACATGTCTTTGAGACCACAGCTGTACGCCCCAGCTGGCCTCACACTCACAGAAGTGCTGACTAGTGTGGGGGGAAGAGAGGCCTCGCACTGCCCTGGGGGCTCCCCAGACAGCATGCCCACTTCTAGGATGTCAGACATGGTTGGTTAAAGGGCAAGGACTTATGCGCAGACGCTCACAGCTGGGCCAGCCGTGGTGGTCCCACGATGCCAAGAAATGGGATGCATCTGAATATCCAACACCAGAATGAGTCAGTTGGTTGTGATATTTCTGTATTATAACCTACCTCAGGGCCACCAGAAAGAAAGGAGAAGATGCAGCTGTGTGACAAAGTGGCAGGATGATCAGGGGACACTCATGTGGGGAAGGGAAGTCAAGAGCAGTGTGTAAAGAATGCCAGTTTTATAGAAAGAAAATCGAGCTACATAACTGCACATGTGCACACGGGTGTGTCTACACGTACACGCACAGAAAATCTCTAGGAAGCCGCACACCAGAGGCTCAGCAGAGGATTTTAATGTCTGGGAAGAGGCGTAGGGATGACTGTCACCTTATGGACCTCTGTTTTGTCTGAACGGTAAAACTTACAATGAAAACCAAAAATCAAGAAAAAAAGAAAAGAAAAATGACACTAAACGGACACACGGCGGCGTTCCCACCTGGAGCGCGTGACTTCCCGCGCGTCTGCAGGTGCTGCCCTGGACACAGGTGCGTCCAAGCAGCTCAGAACTACACAGCAATGTCACACGCCATGTGCTTTCTTCCTGAATGTAACGTGCTATGCAAACTGATCGTTTTTATCGTGTGGTGCGATGGACTGCTTTTGTGTGGCCTTTCTCACAATGGTCTTGTAACCCCCACCCAAGTGACTGGGTGGGACTGTGCAGGCGGTAACGGTGTCCCACCAAGGGGACTTGTCAGTTTTTGCCATCCCACTGGCCTTGAAATGAGCCATCCCAGAGGCGGAAAGGAGAATCCCACTACCACCAAGGAAGAAAAGCCAGGAGCCAGCATGTCCTTTGGACATGGGATCCCTGTGCTGAGAAGCTCCTGGAACCAGGAGACAGAGAGCAACAGCGGCAACACTGAAGGCAGGGAGAAGCAGCAGCAGAGACCCAGCAGCAGGAGATGGTGTGGTGGGCTTCCCGGCCCACAGAGAGAGGAAGCTGAGTGCCTCTGGGGAGGCCGAGGGCCAGGGAGAGGTGTGCCTCTGGGGAGGCCGAGGGCCAGGGAGAGGTGTGCCTCTGGGGAGGCCGAGGGCCAGGGAGAGGTGTGCCTCTGGGGAGGCCGAGGGCCAGGGAGAGGTGTGCCTCTGGGGAGGCCGAGGGCCAGGGAGAGGTGTGCCTCTGGGGAGGCCGAGGGCCAGGGAGAGGTGTGCCTCTGGAGAGGCCGAGGGCCAGGGAGAGGTGTGCCTGCGAGCATGGCTGGGAAGAGGCTGTCCTGATGGAAGAACTGTATCCTGGGTATTCCTGAGCCTGAACTGTAACTATTACTTCCCTAATAAACCCCATGATTATGAGTATGGTCTGTGAGTTCTGTGTGGCCATTGCAATGAATTATCAAACCCAGCAGAGAAGTAGAGAGTGCCGTGGGAGGGACGTTTGGTGTCAGAGTTGGTAAAGATGGCAGAGAGAGGAGGCAAGTCTGACCCCCCACCTCACAGGAATCAGCCTTGGGCTGTTTGCTGATCCTGATTCTCCTTCCCCTTTGTGAAGTTAGAGACGGTCAGATGCTGCCCATGTGCCGTTTTTACATACCAAAATGTCTCTCAGTTCCTGAAATCAAGCACAAACGTTTAATCACAATGAAGCCACCCATGAGTGGAATCTGACTTAGAAGCATACAGTCTGTCAGAGCAAGCAAGCTGCAGAAGCAGTTGTCATGGCTGCTGGGAGAGGACAGACCCTGTGCCTGGGAGGAGCCAGAGCCATGACCTCACAGCCTGGTGGCCCCATGTGGTCGCATAGTCCGTGGCACGCAGTCAGAAAGAAATTGTCTATCACTTAATAGCAACTTTTAAAAGAATACGATTTCTTTGCTTTTCAAACTGACGGACGTATTTTTCGTCCTCAGATAAAGGGCGTAAGGTGAGTCAGCTAGCTCCTACTGGTCTTTGAAGCTGGCCTTTCTCTTCTCCACGAACGCAGTCATCCCTTCTTTCTGGTCATCCTGGTGGGAAAGAAAGAAAACCAAAGCTGACGTCCTCATGTTCTGCCTGTGTTCACCCAAATCATCACCTGCAGGAGGAGTGTCTGTGTCGGGTGAGGAGAGAGGCCAGAATTCAGACTCTACACCTGCATCCTTTCCTTTCCATGTGCTCACGCGTGGGCACGCACACGCGTGAGCACACACACACGCAGGCACACACACGTGCGGGCACACACACACGGCCACGCACACGTGCGGGCACACACACACGCAGGCACGCACACGCGCGGGTACACACACACGGCCATGCACACGTGCGGGCACACACACACAACACACACAAACACACTGTCTCCACTTTCTCCTTAAGAGCCCAAACCATCTATTTTTAATCTTTCTATAAAACAACTAGATACAACTTCCTAAAAATAAAAGCTGGATTATAATGATGAGGAGGAGAATGATTTCCGGTAGGTTACTGGCAGAACTCCTGGACGACGCTGCACTGAAGTTCCAGATTATAGTTCCACGATACATTTGAACCACATTCCAAAGAACTGGCGTGTCCTAGGAAAATCCTGGGTCAGACAACTTGCATTTTAAACGAAGGAGCTTGTTCCGGTGTGACTTCACGAGCCCTGTGGTAGCTGGAAGTAACCTGCAGGTGTTCTTACTTCTAGACTCCCGTGCAGGGACAGTGCGCTGGCACTGAGACTCAGGTAGAATAAACCCGACCCCACTGAATGGCATGGACAGACTGACCCGAGGGAAATGGTGCCCAAGGATGAAGAATGAGAGGAAACACCCAGCAGCCTTTGAGGGAAAACACGTGATTCTCCAGTGTAATACTGTGTACTCACAGTGGCAAAAGTTGAATAAAAGAGTTTCTTCTCCAACTTATTTCCTTCTGTTAATGTCATTTCAAAAGCTGGAAAAGAAAAGCCTGAGAATTATGAACTGAGACATTATAAGCGGGAACATTATAACCTTTTTTTTTAATGGCCCCACCCACACATACACTTTAATTATGCCGTGATTTAAAATGTAACCAGCAAGCCCAATTCCTGCTCATGCTTCTCTGCCTTACTCCTTTACCTCCCTTTCCAAACACATAGCCCAGGCTGAGAGGACCTTATGAACAAGCTGCTCACGTCTCCCTGACATCCTATCTGAGGCCTGGGAGCAGACTGGCCCCAGACCGAGAAGGTTCTGGGCACCAGAAACGCCATTCACCCTGGACTCTCATCCTGAGGGCATAAGTGAGTCTACAGATGGAAGCAGGCAAGTTGCTGTTTAATCCAAACACGTGGAGTACTTATCCTACCCATGTGAAATTGAGCCACGATAGATGCCTTTAACCACAATGTTACCAGGAACAGCAGTACCTACGTATTAGATACCCAGGACGTGCTGCTCTATGACAACGGCTTCGCAAATATTAGCTCCTCTAACTCAAGGCCTATAGCAAACAGAGAGGAACTATCCTTTCTTGCTGATTAACAGACGGTTAAGGAACAGGCCTGAGGAGACACTCCTCTCCCAAAGCTCACGGCCCTTTCAACAGACAACACTGGACAGGCACTCTTGTTCAAAATACAAGAACGAATGTTAGATTAAAATCCGATCCTTTGTTGTCAGAGACAGAACTGAAGGCCTCCAGGCAGACAGAAAGCGTGGACTCTGCGCTATACACTCACATCAGGTGGTTTCAGGAAGCTGGTTCTCGGGTTCTGGGACAAAGGGCACTCACAACACCTCAGTGTAGTACTTGTGAATGACTTGAACTAGAAGCCCACAAAGAGCTGAGACTGGGACGTGGAGACCCTGAGCCAGGCCTGCCCACGGGGGTGAGGAGGCAGTCACTAGGAGCCGTAAAGCTCAAGCCTCATTCTTGTTCCATGAAGTGCCCCCTGGAGCCCTACCTGCATTCACAGATTCTTTGGCCATTGCTACCACAATTTTAGAATTGTTGGCAATTTTTTCTGCACACTTGATGGCTTCTTCGACCAGGGTCTCAACAGGAAAGACCTTGCTTACGAGACCTGAAACGCAAGAGGTGAATGCCGTGTGAAAACAGCCCGGTGTTACTCGTGCCTTTCGCAGCAGGGGTCCTGGAAGCCCAGACTCTTCCAAGCATCCAGCAGGGACAACTTCCGAGAGCGCAGGCTCTCCTGTCTCCCTCCGCTGCAGCCGGCACTTAGGGAGCTCCCGGGACGCAGACAGGCTGTGCACTGCGCCGGTGGCGAGATGGGAGGCAAGGAGAGCAGGTGACCAGCAGGACAGTGGGGACTGTGGTCATCTGCAGGGGAGGGCTGGCGTGGAGCACACGGGGACCTCAAGGCCCCGCTCAGCGGGCCTGGAGATGGCCGTGGACTCGCTTTATCGTTAACCTGTGTGTGTGTTTTAGTTACTCCTTTCTGTGCACCCTATTTCAAGACAGACGGACGGTGGCCAGCCCTCAGTTCTGGGACGCTCTGGGCATCAGGGCTTGGATGCAGGTCCCGCCTCCCCCCCTCGGAACCTGCCGCAGCCGCACCTGCCTGCTTGGCCTCCTGGGCGGAGATTCGGTCGCCGGTGAGGATCATCTCCATCGCCAGTGACTTCCCGACGGCCCTCGTGAGCCTCTGTGTGCCCCCGGCGCCTGCAAGCACCCCAGGGGTAGGGTTAGTTCTGGGCACTGAAGACGTGGCCTGCAACCAAGCCCTCCTCAGCGCCCTTCCAACACCCAGACACTGTTTCAGGATCTGGTCACCTGGTGTCCAAGTCCCACGCCCCTCCCCAGCTCATTCATCTGCCTTCCAGAAGCGTCCAGGCCTCACCTCCCCCAGTCCCTGGGTGAGTCAGGCCCTGAAGAAATGCTTGTCTCTCGTGCTCAGGCCCCCCAAGCCAAAGCTCAGGGCCTCCAGAATCTGACCTCACACCCAGAGGCCAGTGGGGGTGATCCTGAGAGCGGTTTGTGCCCCCTCAGGGTGCGGATGAGGGCTCCACAGACCCTGCCCCCTACATCTCCCTCCTGGCCCTTCTGAATGTGTCTCTGAGAGCTGGAGCCGGGACACCCCTGCTGACACCCCACCGCGATGCTGAAGAGTCACCTCCACCCACCCAGGCTCAGGATCCACCTCCACAGAACGGACGCCATGGTGATGACCTGGCAGTCCAAGGAGCTTCCTTGCCTCACTGAGCTGCACACCCTGGTGACTTGGCTTTGCGTCCCAGCTGCTAGGGGTACCTGGCTCCAGGCTTGCGTCCAGCGAGCTGCAAGCCTATCTCTTTATTGCTGGAGACAGCCGCGACCCTGCATGAGGGCCGGCATGTGGGACACCCGGAGGGCTCGTGCTCAAGGCCAGTGGACGCTCACCTGGGATGGTTCCTATGAGGATCTCGGGCTGCCCAAACTGTGCCTTCTCCCCTGCATAGATGATGTCGCACATCATGGCCAGCTCGCAGCCCCCGCCCAGCTGTGGACACAGAGCCCAGTCAGAAAGTCGCTCTATCGACTCATCTGTAGATTCTGCTGCAGAACCTGGGCATGGCAGGATCAGTCACACGGGAGGTACTCTCACTCTGCGGGCCACATGGCCTTGTGTGATGACTCAGCTCTCCTGAGGAGCTCAAAAGCAGCCACAGAGAATCCCTAACTAATGGGCATGGCTGTGCGTCAGTAAAACTTTATTTACAAGTAGGCAGGGCTGGATTTAGCTGTGGGCCACGTGCCTTGCTCAACCCAGTTACACCAAAGGGTGGCTTACTAAGTAATCACAGATTGCTCCCGCCACATTGCTCCCCTACAGGCAGAGAGCAGCCTCCACCTCAGAACAGATCCTGAAACATCAGAGGACATTGAACTCTAAATGGTAGTGAGAGGCTTCACAGGAGCAGTGAAGGCCCAAACGTCATCCAAACTGCAGAAAAGCCAATGCCACGTGTCCTCAGCCTGGTGGAGGACAAGCACTTTCCTGGAGGGTTATGGGGAACAGATGCAGAAATATGCGTAGCTCTTAGGATTGTCTGGGAAGAGAGGTGCCTGCTGGCCTGGGAGCAACACTCAAGGCTTTAACAGAACCCCCCCGCTGTGCTTACCCGTACAGGGTTATGGCCTGAACTGTCCTGGGAGGCAAGGAGGGGACACTCACCGCATAGCCATTGACGGCGGCAATCACCGGCTTCTTGACGTGGGCCACACGGTCCCAGTGGCTCAAGAACCTGCCGGAGTAGCAGTTCTGGAACGTCTGGTTCTGCATCTCTTTGATGTCAGCTCCCGCTAGGAAGAAGCAGGGTGTGTTCCCATCACCAGCGCACAGACTCCGCTCCTCCCGCGGACCCCACCACTCATGCATCCCTGAGTGCCGGAGTCAGTCGTGTGCAGTGAGGGGGTGCCCACAACAGGATGCACAGCTGGACAGTGGCAACATGGGTGACATGCGTGTGACAGAGGTGATGCTGGTAGACCCAGAGGCCTGGTTGCACAGGTCCGAGCTGCCGTGGACACCCTCACTGAGTCAGCAGTGCACCGAGATCGACACCCACACACCTGTGGGTCCTTGCAAACCTGACACTCACATAACCCCCAGGCCGCGTCAAGGCTCCCGGAGGTGTCCGTCAGTCTGGAGGCTTCCTGCATGGTTGCCCTCCCCACTGCCCGTGCACCCTGCTGCCCGCATACCTGCAAAGGCTTTCTCCCCGCCGGTGAGGACAATGGCCCCCATGGCCGGGTCTCCCTCGAAGGCCTCCAGCGCCTGGTTCAGCTCTGCCATGAGGCCACTGCACAGCGCATTGAGTGCCTTAGGGCGGTTCAGCCGGATCAGCCCCACGTTGCTACTCTGCCCCTTCTTCTCTGTGATGATGTACTCAAAGTTGGCACCTGGGATGAGGAGGCACGGAGGGGCACTGTCACGTGGTGACCACACCAGGGGGCCCACAGGACCCCCACCCAACCCCTGATGGCTGTGGCGCTTGCCTGGAGCCGCACAGTGCACGTGGCCTCTGTGCTACTCCACTTTCACCCAGGATTGACCAGTCCCTTGATTAAGCAAAAGCACCCAGCACAGAGCAGCAGCCACACAGCCTTCCTGCTCCAAACGTGTCTGGAGACCTCCTCCCAGAGCACAGCATAGAGACGTGTGAGCTTCCGCCGTCCTTTACAGACACTGCTGGGTGACGGCTGTGCTGGGGGCGCTACCTGCAGCAGGACAGAGCTCCAGCCCTACTGGGCGCCAGGCTGGTGGGGGGTGCAGACAGGTGAGGGTGCCGGCACTCAGGGTGGGCAGCCTCGAGACGCCAGGGGGTGGGGGCATCAGCTGAGACATCCTGGGAGACCGGGGGTTAGTAAATCTTGCAGAGAAGGGGGGTCAGTGTGAAGAGAGGTAGTCTGTGGGGGGTCACGGAGGCGGATGGTTTCTGCAAGGACAACAGTACTGCCTGCACGTGTGCTAGGAAGTAGCTAGAAGAACGCGTGCAAAGTGCCTATCAGCAGCGTGCCTGTCACTTAACGGCCACGAGAAGGCTGCTGCTGTGCCTGTTACTGGCAGGTGGGCCAGAGCTGAGGGGTAAAAACCCACAGGACTAGGTGATCAACTGAGTAGACAGGGTGAGGAAGGGGGAGGACCCACAGGGTGCTTCCCCAGCCGGGGCTGAAACCAAGGCTCCTCCAGCACTGGACTTGACAGTCACAGGTGGGCCAAGGCGG